TCGGATTCCGTTCTATTGCTTATTCGCCTGTGGGACGCAAAGGCTGGCCAGCGAAATAGCTATCGAAACGACAATCAATCTGTGGAAATACACATAGAAAGTGGAAATCAGCGATGGGAGAGAGCAACAGCAGCGTCGATGAGGATTTACTTCTTAAAGAATTCTTCGCTGAAGTTAGCGAAGTCGAAAGAGACAATGAAGTCGTCAGGTTTTCTCTATCTCTATCTCTATCTCTCCCCCCTTTTTTTTCTCAATTTCGTTGAATTTAATAATCATTCTCGTTATTCTCCCGTTAATTTGTTCTTATTCATGGGATTTATGTGTGTGTGTGTTTTCTTTTTAATTATTTTGGTTTGGTTGGTCTCAGCTATTAGGGTTTATAATTTGATGCCAGCATAAACTATGAATTTGATTTCCCTCCGTTTTTTAAAACTAAAAAGCTGCTTTCTTTCTGTACAACTTGAGCTCAAATAACATTCTTTACCATTCGATGATTTGGCTAACTTTTTAAGTTTGATACTTATAGTTATAACAATATGCTTCGTTAAGAAATATTTGCGTATAACTTGTTGCTCATTTTTCTATTTAATTTTGATGGGTAGTCTTTGTATTTGATGCTCTTTCTAGTTCCAGGTTACATTGTTATGCTGTTTTGTATTATAATTCAGATGGCATTGTTCTGCCATCTTGTTTTACAACTCGATATTGATGGATGTTTCCAAGATCATAGTCATGCTAATAGCCAAGTACCATCCAAGTTGGTGATAGCACTAAATCCAATAATACTTGATAAGAGAGTGCATTGATGCCTTCAATATTAGTATAACCAGTGTTCTATTAGCCTATGCTTAAGATCATCAGAAGTTAAAGGGAATTTGGATGCACTTGCTTATGATATAATATGTCTATGTAACATGAATTTGGGGTTCTTTGATGCACATTTGGTGGTTTAGTGCTGTAGTCCATCTGAAGCATTCTTATATTTTCTAATCCCCTTGTGCCTTTGTTGGTTTAGTGCTTGTTGTTCTGTTTGACTGGTGATGCCCCATATCCAGACCCAGTTTGAGGTGTTAGATATGTGGTGTGTCCAAAATGGGTACTTTAGTAGGTACAGAAAAAGAAAAAAAAGTTGTAGCAATATAGCTGCTCTCTCCAGCCCTCCCTCTCTTGATAAGTAATATTTTATTTGGGTGTTGCCACAATTATAATACTGACTGATTTTGGTCATCGAGTCTAAAACTGCAATAACTAACATTTATCTCTATTACGCATGTATGGCATGGTCATGTTCATCTTGCATTAACCCTAGAATTTGGGAAGTTTTATATTTGGATTAATGGTTTACATTTTTTTCCTTCGCGGCCTTTATTGTATGACATTCTTGAGGGGACCATCTTATTTAAAAGAACTATCTTAATCCACGAGAAATTTTACTTTTTCTGATCCTTGTTCCAATACCAAAGTGATATGGGTGTACATGAGAGTGCTACCTGACCACCACTTTCTAATATTAATTTTAGGAGAAATTTAACTTGCTTCTAGCAAATAATAACAAATTTTGATATTGTTGACGAGCTACTGTCTTCTATCATCCTTTGATCAACTTCTGGCACATTTAAATTATTTCTGGAAATCGTAGGATCCTTTCATGCTTCATGTTCTATCATCCTTTGATTAACTTTTGGAACTTCTAAATTATTTCTGGAAATCGTAGGATCCTTTCATGCTTCAAGTTGAATCCATTTGAATTTCTGAAGCTACCATTTGATTCATCCCCAGAAGATGTCAAAAAACAGTATCGCAAGGTATCTTCTTCTTCTTCCATGACCATTTCCCTAGCTGTTGATGATTTTGGAACTTGGATAGTTATTAATTTATTTCGTGCTTAACATATTCAGATATCATTAATGGTCCACCCTGATAAATGCAAGCATCCACAAGCAAAAGAGGCCTTTGGAGGTTAGTCGACTTTGTTTTACATCTTATACAGTGCTCTTTTCTCACATCTGGAAAGCCTGCCTTTTTAGATTAGCTTCAAATAGAACATTACCCAATTAATTAACTTATAAATATGATTGTTGTTGTTGTTCTGTTGCTTGTGGTGCTCGGTAACCAACGTTTTTGATAAAAAGGAATTATGGACACCTCTCTTCACCCCTTCTGAGGACCCATACACTGGAAATAAAAATTCAACATCCTGATATTCAGCATTGATGATGATTGATAGAGATGATACAACATTAAGGGCTTGTGCGGATTGAATATCTAAGGTTCTCATACCGCATCCTCTCTTTAGTCCCCCAACTATAAGAAGCTATAATGATCATCAGCATCAAATGTGGAAATGCCAGTAAATTTTGTTGAGTTTTTGTCCCTTGAGCTAGGCACTGCTTATTACGTTGTTTGTTCAAATCGATATGGAATTTAGGATGAAATTTAATGAATTGGAAGATGATAATCATTCATGGAAAAAAGAATATGATCGTGATGTTCATGCTGAACACATAAAAGAACATAAAACTAAATAAAGAATTGAGGAGATTCTATTTTTGCTCTAATAGTCCTAATTTCCATCTAGTTTGGCACCATAAAAATTTTCCTTTGCAAAAAGTTGAAACCATTTCAGTCTTAATAACATCAGATGTTAGCAATAGCATTGAATAACACCAGGCACAACTTAAGAGTTGCAGTGAGATTAACTATGCCATTGCACCACTACTTTCAACATAAGATGTTGGGATGTTGTGTCTTGCATCCACATACTTATATACCTTGTCCTTTTTTTAGCTCTATAAGTGGAGAAATATTAAAGATCAGTTGTTTTCGTTGTTCTCTTGATGCATCTCTATTTATTTTATAATTGCTACTAATGTTTATATCAGAATATCTTAACTACACTGGGATTTTGACTTGTGACAGTATTAGCAAAAGCCCAACAACAATTGCTTGATCAACAAGAAAGGGATTATATCCTTAGTCAAGTTACTGCCGCAAAAGGTAATGCTTAAATTGTAGTAACGTTCTAAGGAGTCCTTATCTATTTGCTTGGCTTTGTTACTTCTCACTTAAAATTATCTTCAAAATTGGTAACATTTGTTTTGAATCTTAATGCTGGTGCCATGTACTTGATGCAGAATCCAATTGTAGATTTTGTTCTCACATTTTTTTGGTTAACTTTTCCTTTTCATTGGAAATGTGTTGCCATAAATGCATCTGTTCGTTTTGATCTTTTCGACGAGCTTTTTCTCTCTTTTTTCGCTCTTTACATTAATAAGTAAAACAAACCAAAAACCTGTGGTAAAAGAAATGAGTTCTCATGTTTCGTTTGATGCAATATGCAGAAGAACTTAGAGCTAAGAGGAAGAAGCAGTTGAAGAAAGACACAGCTTCCAAGTTAAAGTCGTTAGTCGATGAGGTATGTCCTTAATATATTTTCCGTACAAGCTTTTCATATTGACCAATTTGGTGCAATTATAGTTTTAGCTTTTCATATTTTTGAGGAAGTAATGGATGTTCTATTATCTGTCAATATGCAGCCTTGATTGAAATTGCGTGGTTACATGTTACAATGTAATTGCCTTGATTCTTATGCCAACAGAAGAGACTAAGGCCGTATTTTTATTTGCAGGGAAAATCTGAAAAAGAGTATGAACAATCAGAGGAGTTCCAGCAGGAGTTGAAATTGAAGGTTCGAGAGTTATTGACAGAGCAGGAATGGCGGCGGAGAAAGATGGCAATGAGGGTATGCTAGATTCTGTTAACATCCTTGCTTTCTTTAGTTGTTATGGCATGCTAAAGGCTTATTACTATGGTGACCTAATCACCTCTCCTTACGGCATTCTCAGATATCTGAAGAAGAAGGTCGACTAAAGAAGGATGAAGAAGAGCAAAAGGAAATGTGGAAAAGGAAGCGTGAACATGAGGAGCAGTGGGAAGGAACGAGGGAAAAGCGAGTATGTTTTTTCTTTTCTTTTTTTTAAGAACCCAGAATAAGAAAGTTACCAGATCATGCTTCTCATGGTTTTTGTTAAATACTTAAATTGTTGGTTCTCTTATTTGTTTCTTGGCCAGGTTTCTAGTTGGAGGGATTTTATGAAGTCCGGGAAAAAGGTAAAACGTTATACATAACACACACATATATTGGTTAAGCTGTGTTTTAGTCTCGAGTCATATTCGAATTCCAATTATATGACAACAAATGAGTTAAAAAGAAGAAAAGGATTGACGGATTCTTTGTTGGTTGGTTCACAGTCGAAGAAAGGAGAACTTCGTCCACCGAAACTGAAGACAGAGGATCCAAACAAATCGTATGTTCAGAGGCCTGTAAAGAGGGGATAACTGCTGTTGTGCGTGCCCCTTCTTGCGGATTATTTTACAAAATGTAGCTTCCAACCAACTACTTTGTATTCCAATACTTATACATATTGGCATCACCTTTTGATGAACCGATCCGAATTTATCCATTTCAGGTCTTCCACTATTTTTCAAATTATTATATATTAACATATGTAATATATGTAGTCCAATTTCAGGTTCTCTATATAATTTTTTTCTTAATACATATAAACACCCGCACCTACATCTACATTTTATGTATTTATGCATATATATTAAATAATTATATTTTACATGAATAAATTGATCATAAGGTAAACTAAAACTAATTTGTGGTGTTGATCCATGTGAGTATTTATCCTATTTTAGAATTGTAAGGCTCTTTTTTCTCCATTTTAATGATCTAAACAAAAATTAATTTCATCAACTTATATAGATTACAAAGATCATTCAAATTTTACTGCTAGTATTTGTAAGAGTTTTTTCTTCTGAAAATTGGTCGGGTAAGTTCTCTTTATATGAAAATTGATTGGGGTGATACTATAGTACAACCTACTAAAACAAGATCATCACATATGATGGCTTAACCTGCAGATCAGGTCAGTAACAGAGAATGTAAGTGTAAGCTCTATCACGTTGATTACTAAAGTTTTTCTTTTTATATTTCTTCACACAAAAACATTACAACATTGTACACAGCACATAATGCGAAAATTACACCAATCTATACCCCCTCTATATGATACACATTTATATTTTCTCTCTCATCATCATGACATATAATGGGACCTCACAAGGAGGGCAGAAAAATATTTGATCTAAAATGACGAATATATATATATATATGAACTAAATGCGAAAAATACTACCAACCCATTGAAGAAACCACCCCCGACCGGCTGTGCTTTCTATGCTCAATTTACAGAGGGAAAAGCCTGAATTGCAACTTTCAGCACATTACGAAAAGCAAACACCAAACCTACACCGTATGCAATCTGATTTACCGAACTTGCATCCTTTTCATGATCTCAAGACCTACAGTCAGCTGAAACTGCCAAAAAAACAAAATGTCATATAGCCTTCTCTAAGTGGGAGAGATTACAGGTTCGGAATATGCCTGTATATGACAACATGCTCTATACAGGGCACCGGAACCTCAGGCGGTACAGCATGAGCCCGAATGGAAGGGTCTATTATATCCAAGCAAGTGAGCCTCGGTCATTTGCATTTGCTACTTGAGGACGACCTCTTGTTGGTGTCGGAGGTCTGTTAGCATTCAGCTCCTGATCCCATAAACAGTCATCACAGCAGTCCGTGTAGTAGAAGTAAAAAAAAAACATACAGAAAAAACCTTAGTTACTGCTAACAAAGAGGAAGAAGCAGCACCTGCATCCATGTATCTTCTGTATGACTTTCCGGTGATGCTTCAGGTGATGACATTGCTGGGGGTAAAGGATGAATGAGTTTTGGAACTACCACAAGATCTCTACCCAAAACTAAGATTGCGCCAGCATTATTAGCAGTACCTGAAAAAACAAGAATACAAAGTTTAAAGGCTAAATTCTGTAGACCTGATAGACGAAGGGTGCATAAATTAAAACACAAGACAGGGACACACCGCAATAATTTGTAGCAGAGAAAAGGGTGATTAAATGTCCCTGTGCAAAGCGCTCAAAGCCATCCATAACACACTCGTGAGCACGAACAATCAACTGGAGATCATTGTTATTGCAGAATTCCATGACACGATCAGGCTGCAAAAGGATAATACATTTACAAAATATAACATGAAAAATTTTCAAGTAATCAACAGAGTAAGTTCTACTTAGAAGAAACGAAACAAAGAAGCCATTTAAACAAGTATCTTAAGTCGAAAGTTTTAGCTTTCGAGGGTTTAAAAGATAGCATCATTCCTCTAAAGCTGTGGAAACCTGGAGGGGGGTGGGGTGGGGTTGAGAGAGAGAGTTTCATGGGTACAGTACTGAGATCAACCAGCCAGCAATATTTAACTTCCTCAAATATTGAAATCAAATCAACATGTAACTACAAAGAACTTGAATTGCTGTTAGCTTAACAATAGCTTTAGAGTAGCATACTCACCCCAAAAGTAACCAAACCTGGACCTCTAGCATTTGGTCGCAACCCTTCCACACTATCATTTTCCGTTGGATCGGACCTAGAGTAGAAAATGGCAATAAAATGTATCAGCAAATTAAAGCAATGAATACTTTATTTACTGACCAGAACAAACAGTAAAATCCTCTGACCATAATAAATCCATAAGAACGATCGAGCCTGCTTCCATTGTAATTGGACGCTGTAGGTTCTCAATCTGTTCCACATGATTTATAGATCGACCAATTCCACCATGCATACAGATGATTTTCTTTTCAATTAAAGCTGCCAGAGGAAGCCAATTGAATAAACGGTTTATTCGACGCCATGCCCATATTCCATCTCTTTCACCCTGTTACACAAACCATCAGATTTGAAACTAAAATATTAATCTACAAAGCTTGACTTAACGTCTTTCTAACACATGAAACAATACCATGCGCTCAATACACTCAATCCGGAAGCCAAAAAGTGCATTGATATCTGCAGCTTCATGATTCCCCCGAATTAAATGTACATTATTGGGATACTCAACCTGCAAAAGTAACATAATTAGGTGGCTCATCATCATTTCAATAGGAAGTAAAAGTGAGCATGAGAAGATAGTGGAAGTACCAAACTTCTATATTTAGTTATTTACCTTCAACGCAAGCAGAAGAGTAATGGTCTCCAAGCTGTGTTGGCCCCGGTCCACATAATCCCCTAAGAAGAGATAGTCGATATATCTGATAGTAATTTATACAAAATTAGTATCAAGTAAAATGATGTCAGATTAGAAATGATATGCAATACACCACATGCAGATTACACACAAGACAACATTATTGATAGATATTAAAAGAGCCAGTCATTAGTATGCTGAAACATCATAAATCAAGCACTTTCAGGGAACAAGATTGTTTCGCCAAACACTTACGCAATGTCCCCAGCTGTTGAAGGTGCACCATATTCATCAAAAAGGCGCATAAGATCTCCAAATTGTCCATGTAGATCACCAAAAATCTTAACTGGAGCCTTCAGTTTTAAAACAGTTGGTTCAACAGTAAATATCCGTTCAGCACTTTCACAAAGATCTTCTATGTCATTGCAATCTAAGAAAAACTGTCGACAAACTGGAGGTTTCCAACCACGAGGCTTCAAAAGATGTGCAATGACCTGGAAAAAAATGACAAAGCATTATAGTTGAACAAATGAAACTTTTCAAGATGCTTGAGGGAAGCATTTTGAAACATCAAATAGGAGCGCTACTGCAATACTGATTCAATTCTTAGGAGAAACTTCTATCAAATGTTGAATGTATAATAATTATCTACATGATTAAAACTGACTAAATAAAACAAATGGCGCTTTATGTTCAGTAATCCAATTAGAATGAGAGAAATCTCAAGGATGAAATCTCTTCAAGCAACATAGAACTAATAAAAGAAGAATTATCAGAAGATCAATAATTAACTATTTTTAATACTAATGTGCACCACTGAAGATTGCCGACCAATGACAAGATTTATGATGCATTCAGAGCAAGGTGATGAAATCAGGCCTCCAAATATTCACATGCAAATTATTTGTAGCTTTTCCAGTTTTTTTATTTTTTTCCTTTCGTTTCCTTTCCTTTGATATCGTGAATTTGAGCTATGACAGATTAAGCAGACGGGAGATTGTTTTCCCACAGAATGAGAATGAGATGTATAGCTCCAGCTGGTAAATCCAGATAGATATATAGCCTCTCATGCATTTTCTTATTTGCATCTTTCCAACTTGCATCAAGGGTAATAACCACCTCAGGAATAAAAAAGAATATTTATGGAGGATAATTGTTCTCACTAGGATAAAAAGAATGGAGGAACCTGTCATCTTCCCTTAAAAGTTAAGAAGAAAAAAAAATACTCGTCCTAAATTTTATTAAGAACCACATCTGTAAAAATAAAAAAGATTCATCACTTAAGAAAACCTCAAAGACTACTATAATCAATCACATTGCAATAAGGATAAATGCTTTAGTAATATCCTATTCCATCAAATAAAAAATAAAGACCATTCAAATCGAGAGAAAGTGTCAGTGATTGAGGTTTTGGGCAACAGCCATGCAGATACTGATCTTACTATTCAACACTTTGTCATTTGGACATTCAACAATTACCCCCAAAACAAACAGGTGCTATGCGAAAAGAAGGTGTCGATACCTTTTTGGGGACACTGTTGATTGACATCTGTCTATCTAATAGTTTCCGGGCTGCAGTTGCATTCTCAGGAGTCCCATAGCTAACCCGCCTGCCTTCATTTTCAAATTGATCAATAGACAGCTGTCTGACCATTCCACCTAAAGCTCCACCAGTCTCTGCTGCTATAACAACCTGTTGGCATAAAGGAAACATTAGACAGTCACGGGTAACAAACAATACTATATTGACCTGAGAACAGTACAACGTAGATAAAATTTTCTGATACTGACAGCTCTATGGTGAAGCCGAACTCCAGGAGGTGCAACATTATTTAATCCAGCAGAATCAGGCATCTTAACCAAAGTAGACATCACTTTTCCACTAGGTGTAGCCTCTGCCCCTCGATCCCTATCAGGAAGTTCAACTTCTCCATTAACTTGTCGTGCCTTGGCAGCGGCAAGTGTAGCACTTATAGCCTCAGCTTCAGCAGCTGATGCCTCAACCAAATAGTCAACTCCTTTGCCCATTTTCCTGCAAGTTATACCACATTATATAGCTCCTTGGATTAATAGAGGAAGGTTAACCATTCAAGGGACATGTAACACAAACAAGAATATAGGGGCAGCTTACCGGGATTCTTGAAGCATCACATTCTCAGTGCTTATGTCAGCATACATGTCCCCATTTACAGGGGGAGCAACTGGACTTCCCAGCACAACTGCTCCATCGGGAACAGCTTCAGTCATTGTTTGCCTTGCTCTTTCATCAATCAATCCATACCTTCCAGGTAATCGTGCATGAGAAGCAGCAGCTGCCGTAGTTGTCTCTGCAGCTGCCAGGTCTTCAGCAACAAGCAGGTCATCAAGCAATACCCCTACAGCACAAATACGACATATTACCACAATAAAAAATTATCAAATATTGATTCTCACGATTAGCAATAAGTACCAGAAAATAGCTGCACCCTAAACCATATTTTTATCCCAATATATTTTTCTTAATACACCCCATTCAATACTGGTCATATCACAACCAGGTTTCCTCTTCCCAGTAAATGCCTTTCTTTTCCTGCATGCTATCATCAATCACTGCTCAAATAACACAAAAAAGCCTGTAATTCCTATCTTAACAATCCTAAAGCACAAACCATCAGCCAGAAAGCTTGCACTTACAGGAAAACTAAAAGTATAAGAACTAGGAGAATCATTCAATAACACAAATGCAGTGAGCAATCCTAAATAACTACATGAAAATCCCATAATGCATCAATACATCGCACATACAAATAGTAATTAACAAATTAAAGACTACATTGTGCATAGGGAAAAACATCACTATTCCTTAAGATATAAACATTAACAAGCCTTTGGATTAAAAAAAAGGGTGCAGATGTTAAAGAATAAAAAGGCTATCTTACCACCACGTAAACCACCATAAATAAATATTAAGTCACCAACAGCTGCAGCTGCATGTCTGCAACGCCTTGTCAACTCAACAGAAGCATCTCCACCAGCAGCATCGGCACTGTATCTGCCAGTCCTTGGGCTCGTAACAACAGATTTTGTATCACACCAAACTCCCGCAGCAGTATCCAACACTATCAGAAAATTGAACATCTTAGCAGCTGGTAGATGTAGAGAAATAGTGTTTCCTTGATAATAAATGGATGAATGATCTCAGTAATAAATAACTCAATAAATTAAGCCATTGAACATGTCCTGCTTTTTTATAGAAATTTAACAAAATTTCTGAAACCTTATAACCCTAGTTCAGTTCAGGCAACAAAACCTTCAGATAGATGTAAGTCTTGAAATTTTGTAGTAAAATATTATTAAGATGTCAAACAGAAATAATAATTTTAGTGTGTTTTTACAAGATGGAAAACCCCAAGTAACAAATCGGTGGACAACTTTTAAATCTAAGAAAAGTTCCCTATGGTCTACGCCACTATTGCATCCTTTTCCCAGCAGAAAGAGGACAGAGGAAGTTTTCAACAGTTTTGACCTGAAAAACTACTTCTAAACCTTAAATCTTTGACAAACCCACATTTGATAGTGTAACAGTAAAACCGATAGCACAGCACATTACTAGAAGTCAATACATTGGAAAAACAAGATCAAGTACCTGCAACGCTTGATGAGTCTTCAACCATACGTCCACCACCAAGTGCTCCACCAGAAACATGTAGCCTTGCATTGACAAACACCTAGAAGCATAGCATGTACATGTGATTCATCTAACTAGAAGAACTCATAGACTGAACTAAATTATTTAAAAGTGAGTGCAGGGAAGAAAAAAAAAACTCACTGCTGCATGCTGATATCTTGGTGATGGTGAGACGCCAGGAGCAATTGCCCATTCCCAACGGCCATCCCTGTGTTTTGCAAGTCCATATGCACTTGCCAATGGCTAAGAAAAGACCACAGAGAAAGGAAACCATGGACAGAGTACAGATTGAGCAAATCTAATGCTAACAAGGGATCAAAACATTTTAAAAGTACAAAAGGGACAAAATTAAGACACCATTTACAAGCATCTCAGCTCAATCTTTTAAAATATCTTCATTGCTATTATTTTCAAATTCTTCAGAATTCATTAGAATGCATCTTTCTTCTTATCAACATTGATAAAAAATAAACTGAAATTAGTGCCAAAGTTCATTCAGATGTAGTTAAGCTTTACCCAATGGAAAAGCCTCCCTGAGCAATAATAAATGACAAGTTAAAACTATAGGATATGAAATCTTCTGGCATATTGTTCAGAAAACCAAATTTAAAAAACAAACATAATTATGCCATACATTTACCAACTCTAGACCATACAATGAGGACTTTTCGACTCACCACACTGTTTGCATCTCTACCTCCACTGAGCAGAAGAAGGCCATCCGATCGTGCACTTGCAGTAGCATACCTAGTTAAACCCAAATTGTCAACAAGTAACTAATCTACAATGATCAACATAAATAATCAAATAAACAAAAGTAACAATAATCACATAAGACACTTGACATCATTGTCTATGAAAGCATAAGTAAGACTACAAGCTTTAACATACAATGTCACAAAGTAAGAAGTACATATAAATACATTATCATTTATCATGTGCAACAGCATCCATGGTAAGATGGGCATAGCAATAAGTACAGTATCAGATAAGTAACAGTAGTTTTGGTTCATATCTTGCATACTGCTCTTTCTAAGAGACCCATAACTATAAAAAGAAAACAGAGCGTATATCCTAAAATTGGCCAATTAACACCAATTGTGTGTGTAGTTTACGAGAGTGTACATGCATGGAGGTGGACTTTCCCCTTCGGGTTCCAATTTACGCCATTCATAAGGCTTGGCAGCAGTGTCCAAGGCCCATACATCTGCCAAGGGTCGTTTTCCTAGACATGATAACCAAAATTTCCAACAAACAATTCATTAAGAACTTCCAACGTGCATGAAAATAAAACAGAAAGTATTTAATGATAATCTTTAAAAAGTGCCTGCAAGAGAAACAGAGAGAAAATATTTACCATCATTCCCACCAATTGCCAGTAGATACCTTTGCCCTACTAAAGCCATAACATGGCCATAGCGCGGCCCTGGTCCAGGGCCTTGAACAACAACCCTGAAATACAATTGACAGTCATATCAATAAACAATTGAAACACTATAAATAAGGTGCATACACATGCATCCTTCAAGGCCTAACCTATGCCACCGTGGTCTTTGCTGTGTGAGATCAAGAACATGAAGATCCTCAGCAGACAAACCTGCTGGACCAATTCCACCCTGAGTCAAAATAAAAGTTCATAATGAGGAATAATTCTTGAAATAGGAAGAAGTTTAACTAAATAATTTATATACAGGAAAATACATATACACACTATAAAATACTGCAGTGTGTACAAACCTGAATAACTACCATAGTTCCGACAGCAGTTGCCACATGTGCTGCCCTGGGTGTAGGTGGCTCTCCAATGGGCGTTATCCTATGAGGTGAATTACATAATATGTCATGATGAATTTTGAAAGGTAAGCAGCAGTAAGCCTTAGACCTAGACATACCTAGACCATTTATTAGTTAACACATCATAAGAGTGCACATCGGCAGTAGCACCTGCTAGTCCTGCAATTAAATTGAAACAAAACAAGTTTAAACCATGAAATCATCAACAACAAAATGAAACTTTCTTGAGAGATAATTTGTTAGAAGGGGGACAGGGGCAATAACAGCCTTGGTATACCGCATGTTTCAGAGATTTGTAGAGTGCTCTAAATTCATAAAAATCCAAATAAGGTCCTACTATGAAGTATTAATTGAAATCGATCAAACATCATTGAATTCTTCTATACAAAACAATGGGGGGAAATGGGAGAAAAAAGGGGGGGCGGGAGAAAGAAAGAAGAAGCTAACATGAAGGATGATGTTTTGGACTCCAAATAATCCACGGTGCTATAATAGTAAATGGCACCAGATCATGAGAATTTCAAGACAATGAAGAGGATTTTTATTTTCTGAGCTTTAGGAGCATTGAACATTTCAAAAGAATAATAGAAGCATGAATTATAAAAGCAAGAAAATGTAGGCATATTTTTTTTTGGAAACAAAGCAGGTTTTATTTGGAATGTGAATCAAGACCAGGATATTTAAAACTGTAGGCTGGAAACAATCATATAGGTATTTTGAATTTGACTTTGAAACTAGGTAAGATGTATAATATGTATTCAGACTCCAAGTTAGCGCATAAAACATCTTTAAAGGGGGATATTAATTGTTATTAACTGCAACTTCCATCCATACCAATTAAGCCTTTTTCCTAAAGAAATTGGGGGCAGGAACTGAATTCATACCAGCAGAACCAAATACCGAAACATAAAATTCATGCAAGATTCAAGATGGAAGTGGCTATACTTCACTTCTAAGACCAAAAGAAAATCTGCATTGACAAAACTCGGTATGTGAAGTTCATATGACACCTCCATTATTACAAGCTACAGGAACAATGAAATTCATTTAAGACGCTATTCAACAAAGAAGAATCTAAGAGACAATTCATATTCTACTCCAAAAAGTACCAGCCTTCTACATGCCTTGGCACTGCCTTACCCCTTCAGAATTTTTCCTTTTTTTGAAATAACCCCTTTACTCTTTGGTGCAGTAGTTTCTTCACCAATCCAACGGAGAAGAACAGTTATATACCTTACTACTAATCTACAACAAAATAAGTTCAGCCAAAGCAAGGCAGGGGTCCTCATCAAATATGAAACATTTGTAGCTAAAATTGTAGGGTTTACATAAGTGTGCATCTTAAATCCTCCAAGGTTCTAGAACAAAGATGGATATGAATAGCCAAATTTTTATACATTCTAAAAAAATTAAGAGTTTCTTATACAAACATCAAATCAAAATGAAATAAAACAAAACCAACTTACTGATTCCAGCGCTTCCAGCTGATGATGGAGTCCCAGAAGAAGAAGAATTCCCTTCTAGTGCCGTGGCACCACCAAACAGAATCAACCTGGGCCCAATATACCCAGGCGTCCCTTCTTCCCCCACAGCTGCCACAGCCGTTAGGGTATGCCCACACCTAGGGCCGGGCCCGTCTTCTTTCTTCTCTATGATTGCGTTCACCACCGAATAAGTGGGAGCACACCTCGGCCCCACCACTGGAGCTTGCGGCTGGCCTTGAGCAGAAGGCGCAGCTGCTGCAGACTGTTGTTGCGCCGAAGAAGGAGGAAACCCAAGTCCTGATGACGAAGCCTGAATCTCTAGTTGATGATTTTGTTGTTGATGGTTTTGTTGTAGCGGTTGTTGCTGTTGCTCCCTCCCCATTGGTGCCGGAGATTGCATAGCTCCGTTGTGAGTCTGATCGTGATCGTTCTCCGACACTGTCGACGAATCCACATCCATTTCCCTAATGTTCACAACTTAATACCTATGTTTAATAAATCGTAAATAAAGGGCAGTCTGTCTTTGCTCTACGCTAGTGCTCTTCCATCGACGGTGTAAGGTTGAGCTTTGGCATATACCGCTTTACTTATTTACCGCGTCTATGAAGTAGGATGCGAAGACATGAAATTGTAAACCAAGATTCTTCAACAATGGATTTCGCTCGCGAAACAAATCATCATGCATGGAAGGCCGCCGCCGTCTCCTTCACCGGAAGATTGATAAGTACCAGAGAAAACTGAAGATGAAGAACAGGGTTGAAAAATCAAAATAAAAGAAAAAGAACCTTAATTGGGATAAATCAAGATCTGCCACCTAAAATCAAAGCTAATTCGACTTTTCAAAACCCTAATTTAGATAATGAGTTAACCGCCTCGTAAATAATTCCACAACACTTTCTATAAAGGAAAAGAATTACTTTTCCAGAAAAAAAAAGGAGAATTTTGAAGAAAGAAAAACGAAAAAAAAAACTTCTTTTTCAGTTTTCGTTCTTTTTTTCATTCGAAGCTTTTCTAATACCCTCTATAATCATCGAAGCCGTCGAAGAATTATAAAACGAAAGAAAACGGAACGGAGACAATCTCAAAGCCTTTCAATAACAAAAACAAACAAGAAGATGAAAGGGAAAAATAATAGGAAAATACCTTACTTTCTTTATCTCTATTTATTGGAAAGAAATGAAATTAACTTAATTTAATTGCTTTTTAATTTTTACTGGGAGCAGCCGGTAAGGAATGTACGGAAGGAAGACTAGGGCGCCGTCTTGATCCTCTTGGAGACGTGAATGAATGCGGGGGAGGGATGACCGGATGGACGCATAATGAGGTTGAAATATTAACAGTGATTACCGGTTCCTATTTACAAGGAGTTTTTCTCTTTTTGCAACCTATTAAGGAGGAATTCAAAATTTCACGCGCACTGTCATGTGCTGTAAAGCACGCTCGAAGATGAAAACCGACACGTGGAAGTACTGTTTTCCACTCTGTAAATAAGGGAATTACGATCATTTATTATTTTAAGGATTAGCTTGCCATTTTGTACGGTGATAAATACGTCATATTATATGAAGGAAAATCTAAATATGTATTTAATTTTTTAATAAAAAATTTATTGAGTAATTTCAATTATATATGATAATATTATTTTGGGTAAAATATGCAATGGTCTCCCGACTATATGATACTATTTTGTTAAGTTCATTGAATATTAAAAGTTATAAAATGGTCCTGTGACTATAGCGAATTACTTTGTTGATTCTCTCAACTATTAAAAATTACAAAATGGTCACTCGACTATTCATTATGTTCTAAACTCGTACTTTTTCGTTAAAAAATTAATGATCTTTGAGCTAGACGTTAACATGCTGACTGAGATATGATAGTCGTTTGAGATTTTGACATTAAATTTTATCATATTTCAATCAGTAGGTTAATGTTTAACTCAAATTTTAGTTAATTTCTTAATAGAAAATGATAAGTTCAGAACATAATGAATAGTTGGGGTGATACTTTTGTAACTTTTAATAGTCGATGGACTCAACAAAACAACTCCATATAGTTGAGTGACCATTTTGTAATTTTTAATAGTCGAGACTCAACAAAACAATATCCTATAGTCGGAGGACTATTTATGTACTTCACCCTATTATTTTTTTAGAATATGAGATTGAATAATTGTGCTTACAGGATGATGTACATTGTGGGGTGATTAAATTCCCCCAAACATATACTATTTTTTCAATTACTTTAACTTATTAAAAAAAATAAACAAGTAATTTTGCAATTTAACATTGATTATTATATTCAATTAAATGATTAAATAAATATGATGTTATATGGATTTGATTAAACAAATTATTCCATAATACTATGAAATAATATGGAATATATTAAAAAATATTGTAATATGGAGAAGATAACAAAATATATGCATTTTTATAAGGTTTTTAAGGGAATAATGTTAAATAAAAAATTAATGTTTCAGATTAAAACATAATTTAAGAAAATAAACTAAAATTTATGTTTGAATTGTGTAGTTTAAAATTTTAAGTTTTATATTTGTTTACGTGTATTATTTTAAATTGTATGATTTGTAAAACATTCTACAAATTTATTCTTAAATCATTCCTAATTTTAAAGCCACGTGTAAAACTATGGGGTTATTTATGTAATTTAGGGTTTCCTTAGAAAAATAAAAAGTTCACGCTCTGATGAACTTAAAAAAATGGCTCCAGAATCGCAGTTCAAAAATTTCCACCATTTCCCAACGGTCCATAATTTAAAACACACACTTTATTCTCCCCGTCCATTTCAACATAAATTCCCCGCCCGATCGGAGATCCTCTTCGCTCTCCCTCAACAAAACCGTTCAAAACTTCGCTCTTTATTTATTCTCCAACGTTCTTCCTAATCACTTCCAAATCTTTCTCAAACCCTAAACGCTTCACTTTGACTCAAGACAAAGCCGTTCCCTTCCAAAATGCCGTTCATTTCTGATACAGCGAGCGCTATCAAGAGCCGTTTTGGCTTCCATAAACGGTCAACTTCATCCGAGTCAGTCTCCTTGTCGTCGGTTCGTAATACGCCGGATCTTCTAGGGAAATCGGCAGTGAGGGAGAACCCCGGTCATTTCACTGATGCCACGTCAGCAATTGGGAGCCTCGGTGAGTGGGACTAATATTTGACTGAGAATACTGGAGCAGCGCCACAGTCGTCCTAGAGCTTTGAGTTCCGTGAAGATCCGTCGTTTTGGAAGGACACAATGTGCAGGTTGGTTGCAATGTTTAAATCTTATCTTTGATTTTCTTAACAAAAGCTAAAAAGAGGGGGGGGGGGCAAGAAAAAGGAAATGTTCTGGATAACCGAAAGTAAGTGTATTACAAGAAATGGATTTAAGATTAAAACTAAGAATAGAAAGTAAATGTATAATTAGTCACAGTAGTGTTTTTTTTTTTCTCTATTTTGCAAGTAAAAATCCAAGTAGCTCAAAAGAAAACCAAGCAAAGGCATTTATTGTTGATTTATATCAAAGTTAAGCTAATTGAATATAATTTTAGGTTTTTTTGGAATTATTAGGTTATCATAAGAATTCGTCCCCTTAGCAGTTCTGAGATTTCACTACAAGGTAATAGAAGTGTATTAGGCAAGAAAGTTGCCAGACAATTACTTGGACGGGACATCCAGAATCTCGTTTTACATTTGATATTGTTGCCGATGAACATGTTAGTCAGGTATGCCTCTTTTTTATCTTCTTTTTCGTTTGATTTTCATGTTTAGGTATACGTTGTTGTTAAATTACGACATTTATGCGATTTTATAGGAGAACTCTTCAAAGTAGCTGGATTGCCCATGGTGGAAAATTGCATGGGAGGTTACAACGACTGCATGTTTGCAAATGGCCAAGTGAGCTTCCAAGTCCCTCTGAATAAATTTTTTTCTAGTATTTCTACGAATAGTTGATTAGTTTCCCACTTTGTCGGTCTCTAAATTTAATTTGTGTTCTTATATTGGTACTGGCTCCAACTTAAAATGTATATTACAGACTGGGAGTGGGAAGACTCACACAATGCTAGGAGACATTGAAGGAGGGACTCGGAGACACAGTGTCAACTGCGAGATGACACCTAGGATGTTTGAACACTTATTTACAAGAATACAAAAGGTGTGTTGTATGTGCCTTATAAGTTAGGGTTACTAAATAACCTCACGAGTTTCTTAGGTACAATTTACTTCCATCAGATGCAAAATAGTTATATTTCATGATCATATAGAATGATAGAAAATTGTACTATCTGCAAAATAATATTTGATAGATGGATCTAAGGATTAGTTTTGAATATTGAGTGTATTGAAAGGCATTGCTGTTAAATCTTGTGCACTTCTTTATTAGCTGTTTAATACTACATCCCAAATGCGTTTAGGTGCTAAATAATGGAAATTGCCATTGAATTATTTATATAAACTTTGTTCGGATAGAATGAACTTGTGTAAGCAAAATAAATACCAAATTTTCTATGAAACTTAATACATAGTTGCTTCTTTATGCTAGGAGTTTACAATCTTCTATACAATGTTTCATTATTTTATAAATCTCTTGCCTTTTTTATCTCATACTATTCTACTGTGATATGTCAGGAAAAAGACAATCGTAAAGATGAGAAATTAAGATTTACATGTAAATGCTCGTTTCTAGAAATGTATAATGAACAAATTCTTGATCTCTTAGATCCATCATCAACCAATTTACGGGTAAAGTCACCTGCGTATGGAGAACAGTTCTTTCTCCTTTATCTAGTACAACACGTGTAGCATGAAATGCAGGTTTTCTTTTCCTGAACTGAAGAAATTTACTATTCTTTGGTGGTTATATTGCAGATAAGAGAAGACATGAAGAAAGGGGCCTATGTTGAGAATCTTAAGGAGATAAGTAGTTACAAGTTCACGAGATGTGATTCAACAGCTAATTCAAGTTTTGACACTTAAAAGTTACTCATATCTAAGGTTGTAAATGAGACGAGACATATCACGAGCTGTTCGAAATCCACTTAGTTAAAGTTTGGTCAACTCTAGAATCGAATGGATTCGACTCGACCTCGACTCGAATTCTTAACGAGCCGAAACGAGCTACTTGTACCCGACTCGAAAAACTCGCGAACAACTTGAAAAAATAATATATTAATTTTTTAGATTTTTTAAATTAAATTATTAATAATATTAATATTTATATGTTGCTCTTTTTTATATATAAAAAAATATAATATACGGTTTTCATGTACTTAAATTCATGTTCGAGCTCAAGTTTGAGTTCCAATCGAGCTAAGTTCGAGAATATTTCAAGTTCAAGTTTTTTCGAGCTTGAGTTGAGTTTGAAAATTTTAAGCTCGTGAGCTTTTGAGTTGAGTTGAGTTGAGCTTTAATTTTTTATTTCGAGTTTGAGTTGAACTTGATAATTTTAAGCTCGTGAGTTTTAGAGTCGAATTGAACTCAGCAATACTAGAGCTTGACTCGGCGCGTTTCAACCCTACTCACATCATAAAGCACATCTAGATCGTAGATGTTCAAACTTAAGGATTCTTAGTTAAAAGTCATAAACTTACAAAAGCAGTTAAGATTGTTTTCTAGAGTTAATTTTGATTGTATAAGCAACTTCTTTTTTTTTCTAAAAAGAGTTGTCCTTGATCTTTTCCCAACTCATTATTAACCTAAAAGCGCTGTAAAATATTTCAGGGTGCAGTAAACAGAAAGGTGGCTGCCACTAACATGAATCATGCTAGTAGTCGTTCTCACAGCTTATTTACATGCATAATTGAAAGTAAGGTATGTGTGACGTTTAAATTGAAGAGTTCCTATAAAATCACTAGTAAATTGTACGTAATTCATACTCTTTCATGGATTGTTTTTACCTTGAGACAAGAGATTCTAAAGAAGTGTTTGATACCAGTGGGAGTCT